ACTTGGATGTACGCTGCTCGGCTTGTCTCAATACCTATGATGTGCTCATGCAAACAAACCCTTGAAACAGTACGTCATCAAACATGCACTGGAACTCATGATGCATTTTGGCTATTACACATTGTCAGATACCTCACGATTACAAGATTTAGAAAAACGACAAAGAGAACGCTAAAGAAAGTGAAAACAGTGCTGGCTCAGTAAATGTTGTCTTCTTTTTGAATAAATTTAAAAGAAATTAGTAATACAGGTTCTGGTGTGACGTTGTGGAGATACACAGCTTACAAACATTCCCGAGCGTCAGAAAGGAAAACCGTGCCCAAATAAGCCGAAAGATTTTTTTGGACACGGAAATTAGCGACTCGTACCTATTTCGGTTAATTACCGTTTCCAAATAAATAACCGTGTCCAAAACAGTCAAAAGATGTTTTGGGGCACGAAAATTGACAAACCGTGCCCAAAACGGCTAATTTCCGTGCCCAGAAAAATCTTCGTCTCTACAATGCATCGAATTACAAGTAATTAGAGATAACCATTTTTATTTAATAATCTCCGACTTCTATTAGCTGTGCTCTCTTGACTTTATAGGAATAATATATCGTGATTTAAAACCTGAAAATATTTTATTTGCAAGTGATGGATATTTAAAAATTACCGATTTTGGCTTTGCTAAATTAGTACGTGATAGAACATACACTCTATGTGGAACACCAGAGGTAAACTTTAAAATCGACAATATTTTTATTTTCTTCTATTAAATGTCATACAACACAATTTTATTTTTGTGTAGTACATTGCTCCAGAAATTATTTTATCACGAGGATATAACAAAGCAGTTGATTATTGGGCACTCGGTATGTTGTTCATTATCTTTTCGAAAGAACGTATTTAAATTGTTCTCTTTTATCTCACTAACTAGGTGTACTCATGTATGAAATGTCAGCGGTAAGTTTAAAGTGTCCGTACTAAACTAAATTGTATCATTTTCTTTTTTTTCTTATTTTTTATTAGGGTTTTCCACCATTTTATGCTGATGAACCAATTCAAATCTATGGAAAAATTGTTCAAGGTAAATTCAAATTTCCCGGTCATTTTACATCAGATTTGAAAGATATAATTCGAAATTTATTACAATCGGATTTAACAAAACGTTTTGGTAATTTAAAAAATGGTACAAAAGATATTAAACTTCACAAATGGTTTTCGAGTATTAACTGGATTAATATTTTCGAAAAAAAAGTCAAAGCACCCTATACACCAAAACCCGATCGTGATCATTATGAACGTTACGATGAAAAATCTATACAAAATATGGCATTTGTCTTACATGCATCTGAATTTGAGGATTTTTAATATATATAGTCACAGTATAGTCAGTCGATGATATGTCAGATGGTTATCTCTCTCGCTTTATTATCATTATATATCTCTATAATAAAGTTAAATGTTGAAATGGTAACCGCGCTTTACAATCTCTCTACGTACACTCATTTATACTTCGTTATTTTTTTTCTTTTGTTTTCTTTTGTTCTGGAATATGTTGAACACATATAATGTATCCTCTTTATTGTTCAAATATGTCTCAATTTTCAAAAGTTTAATTTCAACGGCGCGTACGATCAACTAGAAAACTATTTTCTTATATTTCTAAGTATTGAATGGTTTTATTTTTCATTCCATCTCATCGAAATTACATGGGCAGTATGGTAGAATTTTTCTCTATCTCTTATGTAAATTAATATTTTTTAATTCACTAATTACATTCGAGAAACCAATCTGAATTTTGCTCAAATTCTCATACTTAAGAAATCATCGTAAACAATCGAAAATAGTTTTGTAATGTATGACAATCGAAAACAGAGATCTCATTGATAAACTGTGAAACAGGACTTGATAAAATTAGAAAATGAATTTTTAACACGGCTGGGAGTGAAACATAATTTGATCGACAAACACGTGAACAGACAATGTATGCCTCCATTCGGAATCACACCCAGGATCCTTCGAGAACAGGCCAGAAGCTCTAGCTGCTGAGCTATCGAAACACGCTCTAACATACACTCTCATTTTCTTTTCACGCGTTTATCTCTCAAATTATGTCTCACTTCTAGAAACATAAATATTGTTAAAAAGAAGATCTCGTCTTTTTCAAAGTAATTTTTTTTATCAAAACAATCATTTAAATTAATCGAACGAAAGTAGTTGTAATACTCAAGTTACTATAAGTTTACCGATATCTACAGAAAGATCTGAAAATAGAAGTAAACAAAAAACAAAAAACAAAGATTGTAGATCGAAAGGATAGTATGAGAATTTAATTTAAAAAAATCATCCGACAAGGGAATATCGGACTCAATGAGACAAGCAGAAGCCTAAAAGGATTCATTCCCTTGCGCTTCCCATCCGGAGTTATGACCATTTTACTGGCTTTTCAGCCTCTGGCTCAGTAATTATGAAAAACTGAAATACGAAATTCTGACCTGAAAATTTTGTCCATAGACAGGTCTCAAGGTCACTACAATGTCCTAAAAATTTCAGCTAAACAAATGTTTTCTTCTCGAGATATTGAATGTCCAAAGTACGATAATATTTTACAAGACAAGGAATCTCTGCATGCGAAAGAGAATTATTGGGTTAGTGTAGGACTATCGTTGTGTCGTTTATTTGTTATACAATAATTTTATTACAATATAGAATTGGTTTTCAATGCTTTGTATTTAAAACCAAGCAACTTGTGGCTCAAACTATGAAAGGTTTTTATATAAACGAAATTGATTGCATTGGCTTTATGTATTGCTGAAGTATTTCATACGTATTATATGTGTATGCAACAGTATCAGGATCTGCCAATGGGACAATGTGTAAATATGGTACAACCGAAGAAATGTTTACAACCGAAGGATGATACAACAAAAATTTTATTATTGAAACAATATTATAGATTAGACACAAAATTTCGTTTGTCGTTAACAATCAATAGCCTTGCGATAACAGTTTAAACAAATATACAAAACCAAAATTGTTCATCGCGAAGAATTTGCTATCATCCAACAACATTACCATCATCATCCTCACATCATCCAATTATCACATCAAACAGAGTCATAAGAATAACAGCCAAAAATAACGCTGTCATTAAACATTATAATGATTTACTTTCTAGTGTTAAGTATTTTGGTGACATAATAAGCAATAAACAACGTTCAAGACAATGTTATCTGCGACGTGTAAAAGTATTAAATATGATTACATTTTGTATAGATAAAATACCTGACCACATATTCTCAGTTTTAGTAAGAACTTAACAATACATTTTCGTCTACCACTTATTTCATTAAATATGGATAAGAACAGTAGTAGTGTGGATACTGTTTGTGTGGCACGGTAAATGGTTTCCGTTCTCTAACAACTGCTTAGGTTGGATATTGTAGAGAGTATAGGAATTTAAACAAACGTTGTTTGCATAATTCTGACCGTACTGTGTTTCGTGCTCTCGCTTATGCAAAAGACAGGATTGAACATCCTAGAGAAATCGATCCGTCTCCGAATTTTTTTCTTTTGAACACTTATGTAGATCAAACATTTACACAAATGTTAAAAAAATAAAAGTTTAAATCTCATACTGTGATTCTTATATAAAATAATAGCAATATTAATAATAATTAATTATTTTGGTGATCGTAATTAGATCCGTATATGGAGATCTATCTATCAATCAAGATTAAATATTTGAAAAGATAAACAGATGAATAACGAGCAAATTGTTATACTGATATAAAATCAGAAAACTCTTTGGAAACGTTTATTAACTATCATCTAACCGTAAGAGAATAGAGTAGCAACCATATACTTTCTTCACTAAAAGTAGTTATGCGACTTAATACTATCGATCAAAGTTGTCTAACGAATTTGAAGTCATTACTAAAAGTAGAAATATGAGTGAATGAAACAGAGGCGTTCTATCCTTTAATAAAAAATATGCCCTAGTGGACGACACTTTTTCCGATGAATCAGACACATCGCATAACATTTGGAATGTGTCATATAAGAAAGTATACTAAATATGACTAGCTACATGTCCTACATATCCAAATTACTTTAACTTATTTCTGATAAAATATAAGCAAAATATATGTTTTGTTTAGTATTTCTTTGAATGAACCCAAGAAAACATGTGACAAGTCATTTTGACTCTTTTTATACTCTTTATTTCCTATCAGTATATAAACTTATTGTGGTTCAACTACTCAATCATCGAAGCTATTTGTCTCGTGACTAGATATGCACTACTACTTATACTGGTAGACTGGCCAGTTTTTACTGGGTATCCAAACGGTCTGGGTACCCAGTTAACTGGTACTGATGCATACCTACTCCTGACGGGATTGAATCATTAATGTCTTAGTCTCAATGAGTTATGTCGATATAATTTTTGTCGATATAATTTCTAAGTAAAATTTGAGTGTATTACATAGATATCTGCTGTTGCACAATGGACAGGTGAATTAAAAGAGGCCAGTCTAGTGAAAGTGCTTACAATATGGGTACAACTTGCGCACACATTTGTGCATGAGTACTCAAAAATTGTACTTTCATACTCAGAGTGCATACACTGGAAAGGATACATTCTATCAAAAACATACTGGAGGACACAACAAATGTGTCTTCTACATAGGGAACAAATGAATGCATCCTGTTACAATGCACTTGTTCCTACGATACATTTTCGTACCGTCTTGTATGACATTTACGGAAGTAATTATGTTCACGGTACATACTTGTCACTGACAAGTATGTACCGTGAACATTGTCAGGGTCTGTCCTCTAAAACAGCACATTCTTTTTTCAAATATGTCAGCATTAAATTCTATTCCAAGAAGTAAGGAGCAGGTCTTAGTTTAAATATGTACACATTCGGAGGCCTACATCGAATAAATGTTTATTTCTTTTGGTATCGTCACAATTACGGTTAAAAACTAAATACAAAGTAAAATTCGGACAACTATAGAACGAGAAACAACAGAACGAATGACATGGGGGTGTAGCTCATATGGTAGCGCGCGCGCAGGTTCGAATCTTGCACAGATCGCTTTTTTTTTCTTTCTTGTCACTTTCTTATCGGATTTTTATCAGTTGTTTATCTGAAGCTTATACAATGCTTATCAGAGTCTTACGAAAAAAGTGGCCGTTGCGTGTGCCTTTCTTATATAAGACTTTTGTAAGAATCTGATAAGCA